CAAGATCTCGAGGAAGCGCCAAGGGATGGCCGTCGGTCGGACACGGGAGAGCTCGGGGTCATCCTGACGTCCGAGAAGGCGATACCGCGATCATCGTAGCGGTCGCACACGGACGTAGGGACGGAGGGAGGGAGGGAGAGAGGGCAAAGTCAGCTCGTGCGTAAGAAGAAGGGGGATAGAGAGGGGAAGAGGGAGGAGAGAGAGGGGGGACGCACCGAGCTGGCCGACATAGTCCCAGTGGGTGTCGACGTGGGTAAAGTAGGCCTCGGAGATGATGCTCATGAGCGGCACCTCGTACAGGATCGTCTCGAGCCAGGTGCCCTCGACCTCGAGCTCGAACGAGCCCCACTCGCCCTCGGGGTCGGACTCGGACTCGAGGGGGACGAACGTGAGGCGGACCTGGGACGAAGGGCGGAAGCGGAACGACGAGAGGTAGTCGAGGTACGAGGGCGGGAAGTAGGGGCACCGGCGCTCGAGGAAGGCGCGCTCGGCGGGCGTGAGCGACAGCGTCTCGAGGTCTGCGTTCACGGCGGCTCACACACTGATCAGCTTGCTTGGCGTGGGAGGCAAGGAGAGAGAGGGAGGGGGACGCACGCTGGATGGCCTTGGAGACGGCGGCGTGCATGTCGCGCGTGAAGCGGGTCCCGCCGCGGTTGGTGAAGCGGTACTTGACGTCGACGTCCGGGTACAGCTCGAGGATGGCGTACTGCCTGTGTGGGCTCTAGGGGTCAGCTTGTGTCGGGCTGGTCGGGCGAGGCGAGGCGAGGAGGGAGGAGGAGGGGTCGGACGGACATGCTGCGATCGGGGCGAGAGAGAGAGCGCGGGTCAGGTCGGCGTCACTGGGGCAGAGGAGAGGTGGGACGGACCTGAGCTTGTAGAGGTCGGTGTCGAGGATGGACTGGATGTAGGACCCAGGATCGGGCGAGAGGGCGGCCATGACGGCGGCTCGGTGGGGAGAAGGGAGGAGCGAGGGGGACGGGGTTGCGGGCGAGGGCGAGGTCGGCGAGGGTGGTGGTGCAGTCGAGGGTGGTGCGGCGAGTGAGCAAGCTGAGCCCAGAGTG